TATTGCCATATTCACGACGTTTCGACGGTTGTATGATACGGCCTTCTGCAAGAACTGTCTCTATTTCCGTGATGAGGTATTTTAATAATTTTATCACACTATTTATATCGTTCTGACTGTTGTCCTTATTTTTATTGTCATATTTACGAGGTTTCATTCGTTGTAACTGAAACTGAAATATGGCGTCTGGTTCAAGGATGTTAGAAGAGGGGGGTGTGATCGTTAGAAATATTTATTTTTTATTTTTTCGTTTTCTACGGCTTATTAATATAAGCCGTAGAAAACGAATAAATGTTCAGGTTATTTAAAGCCTGAAAATATTTTCAGAATGGAATTTATCTAATAATGTTTTAGTTATACAAGTGTTACTAATTAGCCCATATCTGGGGGAGAAGATGTTGATTCATACCTTTCCCACCATTATTTGTGCGTAAGTGAATAACGAATCCAACTGGAATTGAAACTCGACTCTCCGATTTCTCATTCAGAGCCGCTATCTCTTACACCACCCTGACACCCTATCTCATCAGGAAGATGGCGATCATAGTTCACTACAGCTTGAATTGCCATATTGAACATATTGAAACGGTTTCCCCTGTTTCAGTTGTTTTACATCCAGCTGAAGGCTCAAGAGGCACTCAATGTAGGAATTTATTCTCCGAGCCATTATCCATTCCATGACCCGCACATCCAATCTTACAGCATCTGAGATTGCCAAGCAGTCACCCATCAAGGTACTGACATTCCTTAAATTCGATGATTATACGGTAACCAGTGTTTCAATCTTGTATGGCCATAAGCGTTCGTTAGCAATAGGAATAGCCGAAAATTAGAACTAAGAATTGGAGATGTCAAAAGTAAGTCAGTACAGAAATCTGGGAAGATTTTGTTTAAAAAACGACGCAAAATGTGGCACAGAAATCCGAAGACGCGTTGGAATGCCTTCCAAAAGCTAAAGAAAGTAGCAAAGAAAGGAGTGATGAAACGCTATATAGAATCAATCGGGTAATAAATGTTGGACAATTTCCGCACAGATTAAGAAAAGAGTTAAGGCATAAAACAGAAGCGAATACCATAGACGGAGGATGTGAGCAAGAAGAAGATAAAAAAAATGGAAACAAAAAGGACACTGATATTTAGAACTAGGAAGGGACAATGAGGATAGAGGACTTGAAAAAATACAGGGTGTATTTGAAGCTAAGAAGGCCGATAAAATGAACGAATAACCTATGTAAAGGTCTTGTTGCAAATTGATGACAGAAAAGAGACCAGGAGGTATAGTAATGAGACAAAAATTGATTAGAGATAAGATGGATAGGAAGTTGTGGAAAGCGATGATCATCAACGTCTTCAAGTGTAATGTGACCTAAAATAATGAACTGAATTTGGTCATGACATATAGAGCTGATTTTATCTAAGCATGGAAGACAATACCAAATAATGTATAATATAGTAAATGCGACGTTGTTCCCTATTGGTGTTTAGTCCAGTTAATAAGTCTGAAAATGCGAGATTTTTGCACAATTACAACGTGTAATTATAATAAAAACATCTTTTGTTATGACTGAGATTTGAGTGAAAGGTTCATAGTCTGACTATAAAGGAATGATATTAGAGCTGAGAAATCTTCCATGCATTAATTTCAACTCTTCTTCTTAATAACTGCATCGTTTCTGTCCAGGTAAACTGACATCTGGCTGTTCAAAGAAGACGATTATATCCTGTTGGTAAAAAAAAAAGATATCAACAGCAGATATAATGTCATGATCACTGAAATACAAGTTCCCAGTCAATTGTATTTTTTCATGTTGGGGAACAGATGATAGTCAAATCCTGCGTATAGGGAGGGTGATCAACCAGTTCAAATCAAGAGGCACACACAGAAGCCATTGTGTTGTGGCCTGTTATGGGCCATAAAGAAAGACATGGAAAGAAAAAGGTAGGTTGAACAAGTGTATTGAAATAACAGATATATACAAAGTAAGAGTGTTATTAGCCAGCAGATAGAAGTGTCTGTCCAAACTGTCAGGTAACGCGGCGTCTCGACTGTATATTTAACAGTCCCCCGCCACGAGGAATGTATGTGGCACAAGGCCGAGTTTAACGTGCGTTTCTCCGAGCCCGTAAGTTCGGCCAAAAATATTCCCTTAGAACTCGCATAAGCGGGTTCGGGATCTGTCTACCTCCCCGGACGAAGCTATGCCGAAGGGCAAAGTTTCGTCTGGGTTCCTCTCTGCCAAAGCAGAGACTTTGACAGAAGTCCCACACAGTCAGAGACTGCGTGTCGACAGTCTCCCAGTAAGTCTCGCAGGTTATTATTTATGAAGGAGAAAGAGTTTATTCCCATGTAGGTAGGTCACCATGACACATTGAAACCAAAAACATGTTCACTGGACCAATTTTCCGATGAAACAAACCCCCTTTCTTCAGTTCTCCTGCTCTACCTTAACAGCCTCAGCATGTTGGTATTGTACTCGCCATTGATATTGTGGCCCTTTGGAAGATCATCAATAAGCACAATGCTTTTTGCATCCAAATAACTGAGCCATCATCGTCCCTGCAGATGAATTGGCCTTGACCGTCTTTTGAGCAGGTGAGGGTGGATGTTTTCACTGCTGGGAAATTCTCGTTGTCTCTGACTCAAAGTAGCGGACACAAAAATTATTTTGGATTAAGCTGGATCTGTCTTAAACAATGTCAAGTGTTTTGTCTTTCATGTTGGAGAACTGATGATAGTCAAAATAGGGGAATAGGGAAGATGATCAATCCGTTAACAGCCACAGTCCCGCACAACAGTTATTGAAACCCAGATCAATGTCTTGATGAAACAAGTCACCTTCAGTCTTCCTGGGCGTTTGGTCCTTTCGTAACTGCCTCAGTGAGTTGCATGGTTTTCTCCATTGAAGATCGTCAACAAATACAGTGTTTTTGTCAACCCCAAATGCTACGGCTTCCCTGTAGATAGGACGGCCTTGGTCTTCTTTGGGGCAGCTGAGGAGAGATGTTTCCGCTTCATGGAATGTTTTTGTCGCCGGCTCAAAGTGATGAACCTAACACTCATCCTGGGTTAGGAAACGTTGAAAGAAATCAAGTGGATCTTCTTCAATGTCTGATTTTCCCTTGGTGTGATCAGCCTGGTGCGCTTTTGATCAGATGTCAGAAGACGTGGCACCCACCCACCTTTGTCATATTAAGTTCATTGGGAAGAATATTCTCAACTCTCTCACGCGACATGTTAATAGCATGGGCTATTTGATTTATTGTCAATCGCCTACCATACATCATCATGTTTTCTTCGGTGGTGGCAAGACGTTCAGACATTGGATCATCTTCAAGACTCTCCCTAGCCCTCCTAAATTCAGCTGTCCTCTTTTGCACTGTTGATAAAACTGGATTGTAATCACCTAATATAGCAACGACGTCAGCATAAACGTCCTTTTTTTTGCAGGTACTTTATAAGTCCGCAATGCCAAATTTTGTCCATTTTCAAGAGAATTCCTTACTAATGACTTTTGAAGTCTTCTTTGAGAAGCCAGATATCTATTTACCAGAAAATAGACAATGCAGAGTTGAAATTAATGCATACAATATTTCAAAGCACCAGCATCACTCCTTCATCGTCAGCTTATGAACTTTTCAGCCTGCCCTCCTAAGCTTCTCCCGAATCAGATAACTGAAGAATCCAAATTATTCTTTGATGACTGAAGGTTTTATGCTTTTGCCTTTTTAAAAAACACTTTTCAGCAAATTAACATCACCACCGGAATAAATGTGAAGCTGTATTGAAAATGTCGAATTGTGTTTGATGTACTGAGAGGGAAGTAAAGAGAGGCAACCACAAAGAATGGAGAGAGAAAAGGGATAGGTCGATGGTAATCGATCAATCACGAGAGATGCACACAGAGAGAGAGAGAGAGAGAGAGAGAGAAAGTGAGAGAGAGAGAGGAGAACAAGAGAGAGAGAGAGAGAGAGGAGTCCTGTAGAAGAAAAGAGAGATGGGAAGCAACCATACAGAGAGTATTGCTGCCATATATGGTCTGGAGCCCCTTGTTTGTCTCAAGGTCCTTGACAAAATCCAGAGATGGATATGCAATGTAAATTGACCCTGATCTGGCATCTCGTCTGCAGTCGCTCTCTCACAGACGTGCCGTCGCCTCCCTCTGTCTTTTTTACAAATACTTTCACGGTAACTGCTCCGATGAGCTGCTTTCGCTGGTTCCCAGATTTCATGAATTTAAGCGTTCTACTAGGCTGGCATCTCGCTCTCACCCTTTCACTATCGAAACTGTTAAATGTAGCCGTCTCTTCTACTCCAATAGCTTCATGTCTCGACCCTCTCGCCTGTGGAACTCCCTCCTTGTTTCTTGTTTTCCTGATAACTATAATCTTTAACTATTCAAATGTAAAGTCAATCGACGTCTCCAGATACCCTGATCTATCCCCTAACCGTCTCTTCATCCTTTCCTCTATCACTCCTCTTTGTTCTCGCTCCAACTCTGTAACCCCTTGCGTGCTAGTGACTTCCCGCCTTGTTTGGGGTGAAATGTTTAAAAAAAAAGAAAAGAAAAAGATAGATCTGAGGAGAGAGAAGGGCGTTGGAGGGATTGTAGTCAATCAATGAAGAGAGATGAGCAAAGAAAGAATAGGAAGAGGAAGAATAGTGTTAGAGGGGAAGAGATAAGAGGAATAGAGAGATGTTAATAAATCAAGTGAGAAGCACAGAGAGAGAGAGAGAAGAGAACAAAAGAAGAGAGTGGTGCAGAAGAAGAAAGAGATGTGAAGCGAGATAGAGATGAGGAGAGATGACAGTCAATCAGTTAAGAGAGATGCACAAAGAAAGAAGAAGAAGAGGAAGAAGAAAAGTAGGGGAAGGAAAGAGAGATAGAGATAGGAAGAGAAGCTGAATAGAGAAATGTTAATCAATTAAGTGAGAAGCACAAAGAGAGAGAGAGAGAAGAACAGGAGAGGGGAGGGATATATAGAGAGAAAGAGAAAATCAATCAATTAAGAGAGATGCGAAGAGTGAGAGGGAATAGGGAGAGGAGAAGAAATAGTGAAGGGAAGTGGTATAGAGAGAGTAAGAATGAAGGAGAATAGAGAGATGTTAATCGATCAAGGGAGATGCAGCGGAGGAGAAAAAGAGAGTAATAGGTAGAGGAGAAGAAAGAGTGAGTGGAAGAGAGATAGAGAGAGGAAGATTGAGCTTAAAATACAATGACAAATGACAGAATCTGTAAACGAAACATCAGAGGGTGAGAGAAGAGAAATAAAATGAGGGTAAAATAAAGAGAGGTAAAGAGAATTGTTAAGACGGAAAGAGACAGAGAGAGAGAGAGAGAGAGAGAGAGAGAGAGAGAGAGACCGGGGAGAAGCAAAAATGCGAAAAGGAGACGGAGAGAAAGAAGGAAGAAGAGTATATGAACAAGAGTCCTTTGTAGTAAGAGGAGGGAAAATATGACGAGAAAGAGAGTTGGGGTGGAAGTGGGGAAGAAGTTTAGGCGGGAAAGGCGAATACTGATTGAGAGAATGAAAAAAGAAGACGAGAAAGAGGATAAGTGGAAGAAGAGAAAAAAGTGTAAGTTAAAAAGGCGAGCAAACGAAAGAATGAAGAGAAAGAGAGAGAGAGAGAGAGAGAGGATAGAGAGAGTAGACACTATAATAAGAGAATGACGAACGAAAGATTAAACGACAAAGTAAGATGAAAGAGAGAGGGGGACGAAAAGGATGGAAAAGGGAAACGAAGCAGAGAAAGTGTTAAAGGAAGGGAGAGTATAAGAAACGATTAAAACGTGTGACCAAGCGAAAATAAAGCCTCAAAAAGATACAGAAAAGAGAGATGAACGAAAAGAAACAAGCAATCAAGAGACAAAGAAAGAAACAAGAGTGTAAGACAAAGAGAAAATGATAGAAAAATAAAACAAAACATAGGAATAAGATTATAGATTTTGAGAGAATAACAGTTTAACAATCATTATAAATTTACTGGACATTGTCCAGAAAAAATAGTAGTTTCATTACCAATGTACTACATCAAAGAGAAGCGTAAATGAAGGTCGGCACTAAAATAAAAGCAAAGAACAAATGCACATTGGCCAGTTGACACTCGACATTTGGCCGTAGGGAAAAAAAGCCATCTTTGGTTATCGCCATCTGACAAGATCAAAGATGTCTGTTCTTGATCACTTATCTTAGAGCAGTCGTTAATGACTATCGCCACAAGCGATGACATTTAGCTTGTCATTACGATACGATTGACTAGATAAATATCGCCTGATCTGATAGAGATCACGTGGACGGAAACGGAAGTTTTGAATTGTCATTAGAGGACGATAGTAAATACGAGGGTACCATGTTGCATGGAGATGTGAACAATTGAACGTAAGACTAGTTTAGTGAGTAATACTGTTTTGAATTACGTTACCAGTAAAATTGGTCAATGATCGAGCGGAAATAAAGAAAAAAATGCTGATTCTCAAGGCAGACATATCCTCACCTTTTCAGATATATTACATTTATATACATGTAAATGCATTGCAGTACTTTTAGAGAAAGCATTGGGTTAGAGAAAGTGGGAAAAGGGAAAAAAGCAATTAATAAGGAAAATGAAGGAAGGACAGTCAAAGAAAGAATTGAAATTGTTTTCGTTTAAAAAGAAAATAAGCGGAAGATGGAGCTGGTTGATTCTCCAGCCGTTTAACTTTAGTGTTGCACACAGGACCCAAATCTATTCTTTTAATTGCACGAGGCCAGAGTCTGCTATGAAAATGGCACCTCGATATACAGGGGAAAGATCTCTTTTGAACCGGCAAGGACTATATCATGGCAAGTAAGTTCACACACACACACACACACACACACACACACACACACACACACACACACACACACACACATATATATATATATATATATATATATATATATATGTGTGTGCAGATAAGTAGAAAAATAGGAAAGGACACGTTAGGTAAATAATCCGGAGTATTTTTGTTTTTACTTTTAAAAACAGTGTTCCATACTAAAGTAGGGCTTAAATTATAATTATTTTAAAAAATTTGATTCCTTCGGTAGGAATCATATTTAAAAAAAAATAATAATAATATATATATATATATATATATATATATATATATATATATATATAATAAATTATATCATAAATTATGACCATGGAATATTTAGCTTTTTATTATATATATATATATATATATATATATATATATATATATATATATATATATATATATATATAATAAAAAAAGCCCTTAAACACTAATATAATTTATAATTTATTCCATTGGAATCGTAAATACGATCCAATTCATCAGACCCACACATTCAAAAAGAAAACAGAAAAAACAACTCCGGAAATAATAATAGAATTTAGAGAGAGTGTAAGTATGAGAGTGTGGGACGAATGTTAGAACTAAAGAGAGGGGTAACAGACGAGAGAAGGTGGATGATTAAACTTTAACAGAGAGAAGTTTTAGAGAGGTGAGTGGAAGAAGTTGAAGTGAGAGAACCATGAATGTTGTCGGATGTCTAATACATTAAAGATACATTCCGTGGTGAACATGGACGATCTAATGTTAAAGATCAGAATAAGAGGGAGGGAGAGGAAAAGAAAAGAATAAGTGTTGCGGAGAGAGATGGGCGGGGAAAACTAAAACTGAAGGGCATTTACTTTGGGTCCTCTCACTGGATCGAACTAACGCCTTTATCCACTGTTTCATACAATGAGGACAACAGTCCGAATAATGTAAATAGTGTACATAATACCTCCTCTCTCAGAAATATACAGATACATACATACATACATATTTATATATATATATATATATATATATATATATATATATATATATATATATATATATATATATATATGCATATTCAGTCACAAATTATAAAATATTGTTTTTAAAGTGTAACGTATTTATGGGTTAAAGTGCTCAGTATCAGAGATAGATCGTGTGTAAATATAAAAGTGGACATTAGAGTCAACACCCAGAATCGACAGTCTGTTTGATTCTAAGCACAATCGAAAGATTTAGCAAAGAAACAGAATCTCTCCTCTGGGTGTTGTCTTCAAAGTCTACTTATATATATATATAATTCTACCAATGTATCTGACTATGTGTGGAATTTAAAAGGAAAAAAACCAACAGGGATCCGTTTCTAAGGTGGAAAATGTTAAAAAAACCGTGTCAACAATCACAGCACTATTTGCAATCTCTGCCAACAGGAAAAATTAGTGATTATGACATTTCCGGATCCCCAAAACTTTTAAACCAGAAATCCGAAATCTTAAGTCCTTGCTTAGATATCAGAAAATTTTTCTTAAGTGCATATGAGGTTGGAGAAAAAACGTAATTTAACCCCCACCCCACCAATACATTTACAATACACTTTTTTTCTCTTCCCCCTTCTTTATCTTCCTCTTCTTCCTTCTTCACATCCATCCAATCCCTTTCTATTACAGTCAACTTCATGTTTATTTATTTTTATAAATTATAATGTAGCGTTCTTTCGTTTTTTAAATCAAATAAGAAATCGTTGGGTGGTCATTTGATCAAAGTCGCCTGAGGATAGCGTAAAGTTGAAACCAATGTAGCAGCTGCTGGCGAGTATTGTATTTTGTTGCTGATATAAAAATTACCATTTTATATCCTAACCCCGTTTGATCATTCCTGATTCAGTAACCTTTGCTATGTTACAACAATATATATATATATATATATATATATATATATATATATATATATAACACTTATGAAACAGTTAATGGTCAGAAGTGAATTAGACTAGAAAACACTTTTACTAAGATGTGCTCAATACACATGTAAACAAAATAAAAAAAAACATTAAAATGTAGAGCCTTTAAATTAAAAAATTAGGAGATCAGCCAATCGCGCCACATTGGTTTCAGCTTTTCAGTATTCTCAGGCCATATGGCCCAGATAATTTCCTAACGCATTATATAAACACACAACGTGAAGTGCCATAGAAAGGGAGGAGTAAAGCAAGAATATTGAATTTGTATTGGAGGGGGAGTAAATAAAATGTACATACATTCATCCAGGTTCGTACGAACACAAAAAGTACTTTTATTTCGGCTTTGTATATTTACTCCTTTTGTTTTGCAAACTCAGGAAAAGTTAACAACAATAAATTTCCACACTAAAAATTCTACTGAATGAAAGATCTGAAATAATGCCCTGACTAAAACGTAATTCGATATTTCTTTCAGGTCTATTACATATCTGTGGGAAAGTGTAGGTTTTTTTTCGAGTGTGGTTGTATTAGGCTCTCCTGAAAGAATTACTACCTTTCTGAAATAATTAGTACTGACTCAAGGCAGGATTCAGTCAGTTATGTGCCATGCGTGATACACGTGATACTGACGAGGCAGATTTTTGTCCCCGCAGTAGGTTGCCATTTCTTTCTGAGGTAGACCAGTTACCATCCAAGGCTAGAGAACCCGTCCTGTTATTTACTCAGGGGGGGAGAAGAAGGGGATTTATACCTTTCTCAAGGGTATTAGCAGGTAATTGAATGTAATGGATTCGAGGGGAAATCGAACTCGGCTCTCTGATTCCTCAATCCGAGCCGCTATCCATTACTCCACAGAGCCTCCTCCAATGTTACAAAATTGAAAGAAAATGATTAAATCATTAATCTCATGTTATTCAAAATAAATCCCAAACTAAAACAATTTAAATTCTAATTTGCATAAAATAAATTCAAAAACATTTACTTACACGCTTTCTTTAATTAGGCATTGACTATCTTCCATCACTTGCCAGACATTATCAGCTAACATGAGGATTATTTATGAGCGTCCTTAAACTTAAAAATTGTGAAAAACAGTTTTGCTGTTGTATATATATATATATATATATATATAAAGAAATATAGTCTTAAGGTGTGCTATATATGGAATAAAGTGCTCAATATCAGAGATAGAGCGTGTGTAAATATAAAAGTGAACATAGAAGTCAACACTTAGAGGCGACAGTCTGTTTCATGCTATATACAATCGTCAGGCCACATATGCTGTTATTTTTCTCGGCTATTTATATATATAAGGGTTAGTGGTGCATTGTGGGTATTCTATTATGGCGGTTATTTTACCGGAAGTCGTTTGTTTATTTATTTGGGTCAAATTATATTACTCGATCATAAAGAAAATTTCAAAACTAATCCTGCATGTAGACTCATAAACCCAGCCAAAGGCGAACTAGGTAAAATAAGTAAAACAATACTAGAAAGAATTAATTCTGAACTTAGAAAGAAATTAGGAGTAAACAGGCGGAAAAATACGAAAACAACTATTGACTGGTTCCACAACATAAATAACAAACAAAATTGCCAATTCCTACAATTAGACATAAAAGAATTTTACCCATCCATAACAGAATGTATGCTAGATAAGGCCATCAACTTAGCTCAGGAGCAAATAATAATAAAACCAAGCGAAATCAACATCATTAAGCACTCCCGTAAATCATTATTATTCCACAATGAAGAAGCATGGATAAAGAAAGATGGGATATTTGACACTACAATGGGAAGCTTTGACGGTGCAGTGGCATGCGAAATCATAGGCATTTACTTACTACACGAACTGAGCAAAATAATAGATAAAATGACACAGGACTCTACAGGGACGACGGTCTCATAATCTTAAGAAACTGTAATAAAAAAAACACAGACAAAACTAGAAAAGCAATAATAAAGATTTTTTAAGAATAACGGATTCGACACAGATATAAAAACTAACCTAAACGAAGTAGATTTCCTAGATGTTACCTTCAACCTAAGAGAAGGCAATATAAACCATACAGAAAAAACCTAATGATAAACCCCTCTACATACACACATCTTCCAACCATCCGCCTTCTATAATCAAACAGATACCAAAAT